CTCGGGAACTCGGCTGCACGGAAAATAAATAGTGTTTGGATCGACGCACAACTCATTACACATTAGACATTATCTCCTGCTATTATTGTAACGGACGTTTCACCTAGAACAATAAGTGAAGCGACAATAGTAAAGCTGCAGCTCGAGTCCTGACTAGAACCAGGAAGTACGATCGTATTAGTCCAGTTCTCAGGTCTCCGCACTGGCTTCTTGTGGCCCCAAAGTACATCCGTGACATATTAGTGCCAATCAACTTAGACTGGGACGAGCTCAGAGTTGGGACTAAACTCGCTCCCATCTCTGTGAGGAGTGAGAGACAATTGCCCACAATTGTAAAGTGCTTTGTGACTCTGGTCTGTGAAAGGTGCTATATAAAATAAAGATAATTTACTTACTTAAACATGGGTAGGCAGTATTCCAGACCTATGCACCCGACCCAGAGGTATCCCGTCACCGTACTAACCAGTCCCTGCCCTACTTAGCTTCAGAGGATTAGTCTTTTCCAATTTACCAATAGCAAGAAAATGTGTTATTTAAACAACTGACTAGAATGTAAGATAAGTTCAAGTTAAAATAACCCAGTATTTGTCCCTCAGTGGGGAAATGTTAGTGTCATTGTTGTGCACATTACAGCAGAATAAAAGGAGAAAACAATCGCACTCAGGTTGCACACATGAAACAGGATCTGTTATTGTATCTATAATACAATAAAAATAATAAAATAAAACAAGAGCAATGTGTAGATGTATTTTAGATACTGTTGTGACACACATTTGTGACGTAACAAGTTATTAGCTTTAAAGCATTTTGGTTCTTATTCCAGACAATAGTAGAAGAACCACAATACTTTTGTTTTGACTCAGAAGACAAGAAGAATCGTCATAAACTAAGTAATTAGCTTGGGTTAATTTCACTCAAAATGCTACATCATTCTTCAAACCTCCACTTTTCCTCGTGCACCTTGTAGATTATTCTTTCCAATGCACCAGGAACTAATTGCAAACCGGCAGAACCAATGACATATTCATCTCTCCGGGAAATAAAACATGTGAATGCCTAAAGTGAACTATCCCACTTCACCCATAGTCACGGCATCGATTGTTTGCCCTGGAACATTTGATAAAGGGGTGACCACAAGAAAGCCAACTGTGTATGAAATATTCACTTCCACTTGAGCTAATGACAGCGAAGGGCTTTGATAGGCGGATAAACAGGGTGACAGATGAGTCTATGAATAATACACAAGCCGACTTCACAAGTGAGATTGATTCGCCGTTAGATCAATACTACTCTTACTTTTCCGTGTGAGTGTGTGTGGGCCATTCACAACCACAGCACATCCCACAGACTCTCCAGGGACTTCTCTTCTCCTTTCAAATAATCTGCATTGAAGACAGTGTCACCGGCTCAGGGGGAAGAGTGAGCGGAGTGGCCGTCTCGTTCGCTGAAAGGATCTCTGCGGCTGTTGTTTGGAGAGTTTCATGGTAATGGGGAGAGCGGAGGTTTTGGGACGGATCCCCAAAGACAACTGTAGTTTATGACATTTGCAAAAACAGATGTCTCCGTTTTAAAAATAGGTCAAAAAGTTGGATTTCTTCCGCTTCAATGTGGTGTTACTATTGGCAGTGGAATGTAAAGGATTAACTAAAGAAGGGGTCAAACATTAGATGTATAGCAACAAGATTTTTATTTTCTCATGGCACTTCGGTTTTTAGAGATGAACTAATAGCATTTCTATTTTTCTCGGAGCGACCTGAAGAGAGAATGATGCATCTATACTTTGGTCTTCAGGCTTATTCTGTTTTCTCTGTTGGGTTGTCGTACCCTGGTCTAACCCTAACCCTAACTTCAGGTTAGGACTCACATAAGGAAATAGGAGGAGTCTGGTGTGTTCCTATCCTGGTCTTACCATACCATCGTACTCCTTTCATTTCGTATTAAGGTGTGGATTTGCTCCATTGACTCCGTGAACAGGTGGGAGGGGCTAACTCCCTTTGCAGATTGAAACGATTGGATCTGAGTTTACAGTGACGTGTGTAATGCGCCTGAGTCTGTCGTTAGCATTTAGCCTAGCTTTAGCATTTAGCCTAGCTTTAGCCATCTCCTTTGCCACTAACGGAGCCCGTGGGGAGTAGAGCCACAACATCTTTGCAGCAATGACATTTCCTAAGCATTCCTCTTGCTCCGGCTTCAATTTCTTAATATTTGGAGCCAAATCAGAACGGATTACTGTAAACTCTTGACGTCACGGACACCTATCTACAACACTGACTACAAAACTTGAAAATTGACTCTTACTCAGTCATCTTTCTGTAATTAAACCATGAAGCTGTCCAGACACTTCAAGTGGAAACCTGGCCATAATCCTTCTTCTCAAAAGACTAATGTTTATTGTGTCTTGGTCTTACAAGATCGCAAAGTCCGGCAACTTCCACAACATATCCCTAAACAAATGTTGTGTTGTCCCAAAAAATCAGCCAATCAGAAAAGACGCTACACTTTGCAGAGCTAAGAGACCGCTTTGCAATCGCCCCGAGAAAAGTACTTGACAGGTCTTGTTCAGATTGCGGTGTAATTTCAGATGTTTTATCATACAGTCAATGGCAGCTGTGATTAGAAGCCACTTTAGGACATCACAAAGCTGCGCAATCAAGGTGCTTTCAGTCTTTGTCTCCTGCCGCGTTTCGTTCATTCATACTTTCTTTTACCCCCAGATGGGCTCTTTTTGTCTGGGTTTGGAAGAAAAGAAGTTGCTGTATTGAAGAGCAGCTTTTTCTGTCGATAGTTTGTTGTGCTTTGTGAGACACGCTGCGATTTTGCACAACAAACATCTGATAACGAATGAACCATGTGAGAGAATCGCTGTTTGAATTGTTTCGTTTGAATTACGCCGCTCACGCTTTAATCACCGTAATTGTAGAGGCCTTTGAGGATTACATTTGTTGTATATTGATAAACATAGATGGGGTTTTGTGTATTGTGTCAGGCTGAACAGTAGGACCGGGCAATTTAAGGGAAATTGAAATAGAAGAAAGTGTATTTTTAAGAAACAAACAACACTGTATTTTGGTTTGTTGATTGACTTAAATAATACCAACTTTTAAAACTGCTGTTTAAAGGAGATTATCCAACATTTACACTGTGAGAGCTTGTAAATATAAATTAAAACCTATTTAAATTTCAGATTCATTAATTCAATTCAATTACATTCATAATTACAGCCCTGCATCACAACAGCGCCGTAAAGATGGCGCCGTGGCAAGAGCTCTGGTGTGTGCCGTCTTCTCTGTCTGGTGCACACTGGGGTAGTGGTCTTGCACAGTTTTTCCAATGTGGTTTTACTGTAAATGCCGAATAAATTAATCTGAAACTGAAGTCATCAACGCTGCACAGGTGACAATCAGAACACAGACCTGCAATGTGTGTCGTCCTCAATACTGACTTGTTTTCTGACCACCCAAAAATCTAAATTGAAGCTGCTACACCTGTGAGGTTGGGTGGATTGTCTCAGCAATGAAGAAGTGCTCACTTAACCCTTTTATGGTTTGCTCAATCATTTGGTCAACCAAACTTTACCTGTCAAGTAGAAACTTCACGACTGAAGCGTCAGTGGGAGCCCAGCCTTGACTTTCAGCGCACGCTATTGTGTGAAAGAATCTCCCAAAACTCTGGTCTTCTTTGAGGAGCACGTATGACGGCCTCTAGTCACATATTTCCAGGATGATTGACAATTAGCCGGACCAATAGCCTTGATGATCCACCCGGAAAAAAACAATCCTCCTGTACACCTTTAATTACTATGCTAACATGCAAATAACAATTGTTGTAGAATTTAAATACAGCACACGCCGATTCAAGAACACAATCATGTTTTCATTCATGTGTCAACATTTATCAAATTGTGAAATTCTATATTTAATCATGGAAAGTTTTATATAAAAGTGTTTTTATATGATGTGTTTTCAGGGTCAGTGAGTTTACAGAGTTCAGTGCAAACAGCCTGGGAGTTTGTGTCTATTGTTCTTTCAGTGAAGAGTCTTATCTCGCTAAATAGGGAGTAGGTAAACCAGACCAGGACTCAGACCAGTTCAGGACTTGGACTTCCGGTCCTGGGGTTGTACCATATATGGAGAAAAAATAACGTCTTTGGGAGCCCTGTCGTTCAAACTGTTTTGAACGACATAGTTGGTCAATCTGATCCAGGGACAGAGAGAGGACTTCGCAGAGAACCTGGGAGTCCTCTTTTAGTTTTCAGGCCTGGAGGGACGGTTACATTTTGGCTCAGCTCATGAGAACAGTGAGGGAAATAGGTCAAAGTTTTGTGTTAGTGTTTAATTGTAAAGAGAATAAAGTATTATTTATTTATCCTTGAATATCTTCTTTTCTGGCAAATTCTGAATCTCATCCACAAAACAATGCATTTTAAGTTCAACATTCTTCTGTGTAAGTGAAGCAGATATAGCGTACAGTATGACCACATTAGTCCAGTCCTCAGGTCTCTGCACTGGCTTCCTGTGGCTCAGAGAATAGACTTTAAAACAGCTCTGCTTGTTACAAGTCTCTCCATGGCCTCGCACCAAAATATATTAGTGACATGTTGGTGTCATATGAACCAGCCCGGACTCTGAGGAGCACAGGGACTGGACTCCTGCTGGGACTCTGAGGAGCACAGGGACTGGACTCCTGTTAGTGCCCAGAGTCAGAACTAAACATGGGGAGGCTGCTTTTCAGATTCAGGCTGCTTAAATCTGGAACAGTCTTCCTGAAGATGTGAGACAGGCCTCCTCTCTGACAATGTTTAAAACCAGGTTAAAGACAGTTCTGTTTAGCTGTGCATACAACTGAGGGATTATATATTTGTATCTTTCTTTTTAATGTACTGTGATTATTTATGATTTTAAAGCTTTCTTATTTTGTTCAGCACTTTGGGTTGCCTTGTGTATGAATTGTGCTCTACAAAAAAACTTGCCAAACTTGCCTTACATCTCTTCTAACACCACCTACTGTACGTTCTGTCCATCGCCCTCATTATCAGCCTCAGAGCCTTTGAGCGACTTCCACACATTTGACCCGACCCCTGACCTGCTGGATCCTCCGCAGGACCGGCCGCTTTCTAGGCGGTGGGCGGACAGAGTTCTGCTGCAGGAGGCCGTCTCTTGAATGAATGACCTGTTGGAAACACTGAGCTGTGCCACTTCCAGTTCAAGTAAACTGTGAGTGGGAGGTGTTTGTACCGCTGCAGGCTGCACCCACCCACCGGCCTCACTCTGCTCCTGCTCTCCAAGGACAAGCTGCATCTCGTCTACTTCGTCTTTTCTGTTGTGGAATGAAAAGATTCTGCTTCACGTCCAACAGCAGTCTGTATTTGAATATTGTCTATAGTTGTGAGTACTTTATGGAGTGTGTGTTGTTATTTAATCTTGCCTTGCCTAGCCTAACTGAACCGAAAACTGAGAAAAGCGTAGGAGTCTAGTCTAGTTTTGGGTAGGCCTGTAAATATTCACCCAACATACATTTTAAAAAAGTGAATTACAAAAGAAAAACAAATATTTATAATGTGATATTTTATGATTTGAATGTCCTGGAAAGATTTGAGGATGTTCTTGTTTTGGTTGCTTTGAGTCGCCTTGTAATTAGTATTGTACACAGCAAAAAATGATCAAATATGAGATAATAATTGCTTGAATTGAGTTGTTTTTATCTTAATTTAAGTTCTTTCTGACTGTCTTAAAACGAGATTTGCCAATGGGACAAGCAATTTTGACTTGACTCAAGAACTATTGCTTTATTTTCTCATTCCAAGAGAGAAATGTCTTGTATCTTTTTAAAACATTAATTTTTCTTGTTCCACTGGCAAATCTTGTTTTAAGGCAGTCAAAATGTGCTCAAATTTAGAAACATTCAGCAAAATTTGAGTATTTTTTGTCTTTAATTCCATAATTTTTTGCAGTGTATTGTATAAACTGTGCTATACAATAAACCTTGCCTTGCTTTGAATAAAACTGTTTTGCGCCTCCTGTACTGGCCCCGCTCCCATCTCTGTGTGGAGTGCGAGGACAAGTGCCCAAAAATAACAATTGTAAACCGCTTTGTGACTCTGGTCTGTGAAAGGCGGTATATAAATAAAGATTACTTACTTACTTAAAAAATAAAGAGAAAAATCACACAATTAAAAATCATGTCATGTCATTTTCAACCCCTTTATTAATGCTGATTAATTGATGATCCTCTGCAGGTGGTGGGTCCACAGGAAGATGGCTGCTCTGTCATCGACGGGATGGCCTTGATCTTTCAGCGGTGGCTTCAGGCAATGTGGGGTTAAGTGTCTTGCCCAGGGACACAACGAAAGCAGACATCAGTGGGAGCAGGTGACATGGGTCGTGGTGGGCTCCAACCAGACCAGTGCTCTACCAACTGAGCCACAGGAATAGTCACAGTGCATTAAAAAGTAAAGATCTTTCAGTTTTAACCTGGATTTGAAAACTGCCACCTGCTTTAAAATATGTTATAGCTAGTTCTTCTTTTGTAATAACACATACATTGACTCGCAAACACTCACACACACACACACACACATACCATTACCTGGGCTATAATTGACTCATATGATATCATTTTGAGTAACTTGAAGTAGCTCACCTGTCAGCACATGTCGGACACAGCCCCGTGGAGCGTCTGTGGCGGCCTCTGGAGGAGATTTCCGCTGCCTTTGCACTACTGTCTCCATTCACACTCACCGCTGGCCAATTAAAACTCCAAATGTGCATTATTCAGCAAAAGTAAATGGCTGTTGACTGCTGTGCTGAAGCCGACGAGCGGTGAGACGTTAAGGTTGGCTCCAGATGCTTTGCGGATCAGTGTAATGTACCGGTGGGGCGAGAAAGTGGCGAGAAAGTGGCGATCAGTGACGAAAGCTGCACATGACAGAACAGGTTTGCACAGAATTATGAAGAGAGCGACTTAAGCTGTATCACGGTAAAAATGTGTCTTGGCAAATTGTTTGTGCAAATTTTGTTTTTAGATGAGCTTATTGATGAATATTAAATACATCAATCAATCAATCAACGTTTATTTATAGAGCGCCTTTCCTACACAAGGCAACGCAAAGCGCCTCACAACCCATATAACATCATGCATAAATCATCAAACATTAGAATTTAAGTAAACATAAAAGGACAGATTAAGAGCACAAGATATATAAAATCACACAAGTAGTTAAAAACCGTAAAACATTAAAATCACACAAGGGATTACAATCATAAATAATCATAAATAATCATAGCGCATTAAAAAGATTAAAGATAAAAACAAATATAAAATCATTCACTTGTATGCACAGCTAAAAAGAACTGTTTTCAGTTCAGTTTTAAAAACTGCTAGAGTAGACGCCTGTCTCACACTCTCGGAAAGACGGTTCCAGACTCTAGCTGCATGAATCTGAAACGCAGCTTCCCCATGTCTAGTTCCGACTCTTGGCACTAACAGAAGTCCAGTCCCTGTGCTCCTCAGAGCCCGAGTTGGTTCATATGGCACCAACATGTCGCGGATGTACCCTGGTGCGAGGCCATGGAGAGACTTGTACACAAGTAAAGCTACTTTAAAATCTATTCTCTGAGCCACAGGAAGCCAGTGCAGAGACCTGAGGACCGGACTAATGTGGTCGTACTTCCTGGTTCTAGTCAGGACTACTATACATTGAAAGTAGTAATATTTTTGAATCAATCATTTTGTAATCTATTTAGTATTGAGCTAGTCCAATTTTTTGATTTTTTAAATTGTATTTATTCATTTATTGTATGTATTTTTAACGTATTTATTGTATGTATTTTTAACGTATTTATTAATGTATTTTTTTATGTATTTTATGTTTTTTTATGTATTTATTCTTATTTTATGTTTTATGTATTTATTCTTATTTTATGTTTTATGTATTTATTCTTATTTTATGTTTTATGTATTTATTCATTTTGTATGTATTTTTTATGTATTTATTTAAAAAATATATTTTTTTAAATATATTTTTTCTTTATTTTTTTGAATGTAATTTTTTATTTTTATTTTTTTTTATGGAGAAACGTGCACAATCAACAACATATGTAGAGTCAGAAAAAATCCTTTCTTTGTGGTGACTGAGCAAAAAGGGTCTGACGCTCCACATAAAAAATAAGAAATGTCCACGAAAAAGATTCTTGAATAATGAAAATTATATTTATTTTACAAACAAAAAATGTACTTCCAATTGTACCAAAATCAAAATGAAAGGCAGATGTGAGACAGAGTGAGTGAGTGAGTGAGTGAGGTCAAAGACTGTCTCTTCCTACTGCAGCCACACCTCCAGGTGATACTGCACACCTTATGTAGCCCTACCCCAGTGCGTCCACTAGATGGCGACAAAAGCGTCAATGGGGGCTGTACAAAGTATCTTAACTACATTTTGGCTCCTACAACATATATAGCAAAATCTGGTTTGCATTTTCATAATAAACATTTCTTCATGTAATCTAAGCGTATCTCACTCTACATATAATGTCTGCACAAATATTGGAATGGAAAAATGTCCCGACCCTCACTTTGGGAACCATTGTCTTCTCAATCCTAGTGTCGCAGTTTAATACCAGGCTTCCTTCTTGTTAGTTTTAAAAAAAATATCTTTCTCGCAGACATCCAGTCATTCCTTTTCCTGCACGTCTGAGTAAACCTTGCACGTTGCCAGATCAGAGGCAGCAGGGCAGGTGGGAGCTGACAGAACCGACTGCACCCGAACGCACCCCCCCCCCCCCCCCCTCAGACAGAGCCGGAGCACGGACCTGTCGAGCCCCCGATACACACAACATAAGGAACCTTGCAGAAGAGGAAAAAAATAATCAATCTTTCTCCCCTTTCTTCCACCCGCCATCATCTCAACCTCAAGCGCAAAAATCCTGTGAGAATGTTAGAAAGTGCTAGAATCTGAATATCTATTTTGGTAACAATGGCGACAGCGTTATAAGCTTTCTCAAAAGACTCAATCATTTCTCGTTTTCAGACTCTGTTTCTGTTTCTTCACCATAAAAAAGTCAATCAACGTAGCTTGTTTGTTAGCCACATTTACCCCGGTATAACAGACCAGCGCCGAGAGATACTTGTGTATTTTTTCAAGAGCTAAGTAAGTAGTAAGTAGCTTTTATTATTATATATTTTTTTTAGTTTCTTACTTTTTTATTTATTTTTGTTGTACCTTATCATTAATATTGTCCTTATTCTCTTTGTCATTCTCCTGTTTTGCAAAATTGTCTTGCTTTTTTTATATCAGGAAAGTTAAAGATTTTTGTATTATTATTATATGAATAAATAAAAAAAAATATGAAAATTGTTATTTCGAATTCAATACATAACTTAAATTTACAACATATATTTCATTTAAATAAATAAATATCAACTCAAAAAAATTGTATAAAGCGCTTTTCTTTTTTTGGGGCATTTGTCTCTCACTCCGCACAGAGATGGGAGCGAGGACGCCAGACAGTAGGTGCATGCCAGACCTATTGCACATGTTTTTAGTGGTATAGGGAAACCGTAGCAGCCGGAGGAAACTTACGCAGACACGGGGAGAACATGCAAAGTCCTCACAGAAAGGCCCGGAGGTGGAATCCAACCCAGGATTACCAACCGCGCAACCGTGCCGCCCTGGCCGAGAGACAAAAGAGTACGAACCAATCCGTCGTAGCACTTAGCGTCATTACAGGTGCATTCTCACAGACACAGTCCATGCATCCTCCTCTAAAAAGCCGTCAAGTTCTCGTTAAAAAGTGTCAAGAAATGTTATGTGTATTATCATGTTAATAAATGTGTGTAGATTAGGGTAGTCAAGTTAACCAACTAATGCATTGAGCGTGGCAGGAATGCAGAATTCTCCCAGCCCCGAGGCAAGAGTAAACAAGAGCCAAAGTTAATCTTTTACTTGTTACATTGTACAAGGAGAATGTCTTGACAGAGGCAAGGCACAGACCCTAGCCTCTCTCAGGACAAGTCTGAAGATTCACAGTCTGCAAGCCCCTTTTGGTAGAGGAAGACACACCTTCGTATGCAGATGGGAAAGGAAGAAACCAACACAACAAAAGACACTCAGCATATGAGCTCCCCAGACCTCCCGGAGTCTTCCTGAAGCTAAAGTGAATTACAATACAGAGCATTCAGCAAATAGCCACATATGATTTACCAAAATAATAACTTAACTTACATTCCAATATCAAAAAGGCAAAAGGCTAATTACCATCCGAAGCCTCCCGCGTACGCCCATCGTCCACGATTGAACTTG